ATACACCGATTTCAGAAAAAAATGACACTCCAAGGATATGTAGACATATATATGTATCTCCATTTAACCGAATAAGTCTTTTGTTCATTCATTCTCAAAGGACCACTATGATGACAATGGGAAGATTACTTGTCTGCTCGTTGTTTTGGCCAAGCTAACTCTGTTTAACGAGCTCTGTTGTTTCACCTCGATCATGTCGTAAAATAACAATAACAGTCAGCTGGACCTAGAACTCTTTTTTATATTGTTGTTGGAGCATTACATTTCCAGAATTTTTACCCTTTTTGTATAGCTAAATTACCAATACTCCAGATCACGTTGTTAATGACCACCATATTATCTGATATTATTTTTAAGGCGTCTCGGTGCAGTTGTTATTGTTTTGTTCGGGATACCTTAGACTTCGAAATTTGAACATGCCCGTGAAAACGTCACATTATTACTCTTATCTCTTGGTTGTTCATTATAAATACCCGAACATTCAACTCCATACAATAGTGTTAAGAGGGCGATGTGAAGCTCATTTTGTCATGACATTGGACAATSGTGAAATTCAAATAATGGAAAATAATCAAAACTTCATTTGTTCACTATTGTGAAAAAGAAAACTATAAGCAGTATTTAGCAGTATTTGTCTAACGGATTAAATTTGTTCTGATTTGTTTATGCTAGCTCAATCTGATTCGGTCTACCTCCGCCTCTTTGGTCAGCTGATATTCGCTATCAGTAACAGTTCTCATTGAAAACACGTTCAAAGTAAACTTTGGTTTTAACGTGGACTGACCATTTACACTATTTTCTCTCTCTCTCTCTTGTCCAAGCTACAAAACTTTCAATGGTGTACAGTAAAGATATAAGGTGGCTGGCGATACTGATGAAATTTGGAGAAAATAGGTCACTCAATTATATATCTAGAGTACTAAAACTTTCAAAGAGTACAATTACAAGAATTATAAAGAATTATCGAACAACGGGAAGCGTTAATCCCAAGCAACTTGGACGACCACCCATCAGCACTCTAATGACCAGGGACCAACAGTTTGTACTATGGGAGTACATTTTAAAACACAGTACCTCCTATTTGAAAGAGATGAAGCAATACTTGCATAGAACAACGGGATCGGATATCAGTGTCACGAGTATCTATTCCATCCTAAAACGTTTTCGTTACACACGGAAAAGGGTAAGTATAATGTTACTTGTAATTCACGTTTCTACACAAAAATCGCTAGTGAGATTCCTTCAATTACTAGTAAAGAAAAATAATATCTTAATTTTAAAACTGCTCGTAGAATTGACAATTTTAATTAAAATATTTCGTATTTCATGRAAGTGTGGCTTTAGCAATAAAACAAGAACCTTCTACGCTGTAATGACAATTACGAGGGTGTGTGAGTGGTTTCTATCGACCAGATACATTGTGATCCTTGAAATAATTGCAATGACTATACTGAGTACGCTTAAAGCGAAGTACTATCATAAAAGTAAATAGTAATTGGTTTGTTTTATTTGTAGCTGCACCGCATAGCCTTAAACATAAAACCAGAATTGGTGGAAAAGTTTAAGGACGACGTCAAGGTGTTTCGCCCTGAAGAACTTGTTTTTCTCGATGAATCGTTTTGTGTAAGTGTGCTGATGTATGGAATTTCGTTTTCGTTTTTCGAATTTTAAGCTTTCTTTATTAATTTCTTTTAGGATAGAMGTATTTCTCGAAATTATGGCTTCAGTTGGAGAGGAAAAAGAGCTCGAGGAAAGTATGCATCACCGCATGGACCAAGGGTTTCTGTAATGGCAGCAATTGGCCACAATGGCCTAATGTGCTTTCGAAATGTGGTCAAAAAACCATTCAATAGTCGAAGATTTTTACGATTTCTTACGACGGACCTTGCGCCACTTCTTAACCGCTATAATGGGAGAAATAACAACTCCGTTGTTATCATGGGTTAGTTTTACGCTTCTCTTAGCTAGGCGTACTTTAAATATGTATGTGAATTCGTTCATTTGTAGTAATTATCGCGATTTTTCTTCAGATAATCATCCTGCACACCATGTTCCTGGTGTTCGAGCTGTAATTGAGAACACGGGGGCAATGCTCCTGTACCTGCCACCATACAGCCCTCAGCTCAATCCAATAGAAGGAATATTCTCAACTATGAAGCAGTGGCTTAGAACCCATGATAAACTTTTAATGATAACAGACGATCCGGAATACCTCGTGTACAAGGCACTGATAGATATTAGCCCTACAACAGTCAGAGCGTATTATTCTGGTTGTGGTTACCACTAAGTGTAAATACCTTTTAAGCTATTAAAATAGCCGATCTAAAATAACTAAATTTCTTACAATCGAAGTTACACAGTACTGATACAATTGTACCTCGCAATTCTAGTCATAGTATCTTTTTTACAATCATAGTCACTATGAACTTTTAAGTTGTGATATTCACAATATTACTCTAGACATTATCACTACCTCACTATATAAAACACTGTTTTATGATGAAGTTAATATTAGTAACAATTCAGTAAGTGCTTTTTTACTTCATGGTGCTTTAACAATGACAGCGTTAACGTTTTAGTTGCAAATATGATTAACATATAGGAGTCACAGGGATAGGATCGGACCAACCACTTCACATATCCTGGAGGTCGCTTTCAATTTTGATTTTTTCCTCGTCATACTTGCTTTCACTTAAGATATTTCTGTCTTTCAGTTCTTTCAACATGCTTAACTGCTCGAATAACTTTGTCCTGGTTTCAACACGCTGTAAAGAAAATAAAGAAATGTCCGTTGAATGGATAGTGTAGTTCCCCGCGGTGTGTTTCATAGATTGTTTGAACACTTGTTTACAAAGTACAGATGGACATGATATTCTGGAAGTGTACGTTCTGTGAGGCGGTTAATGTTAGTATGGAAATATGTAAATATTAAGATAAGAAATTACCGTTGTCTTTGCTTGCAAGTCACACGGTGTTCGTTTCAGTGCCTTGTCCGCCTTTTTGTTGAAGACAGGGTAGTCCGGCGGTTTATCATAATCATCATGATCCTCTCTTAGCTGTATATTTTAGGATAAAATAAACATTTTGAGAATGCATTGTTGAAAAGAGGTCCATTTAAGCATGAGATGCGTCATACCGGCTAGGTAAAATAACTTAATAACTATACACTAGCTATCTAAGAACCATTTCTTTCATAATACTACACAAAACATCGAAAGTATCTATTGATCAAGCCTTAGATTCTACGAAAAAAATCGCGTTGTTTTCGCCCTAGCCTACGTACATCCGGATTATTCTCTAAAATAACGTCAGACGGTATATTCGAGTAAACGCTGGATGAAAATCAGGCTGTGTTTGCTCTGAAACCAAAGCTTCTCTCATCAATTTAACAAGAAGTCATTATGAAATGACCTTATAATTTCAATAAAAGAGAAATAATATAATAACAATTGCATAGAATAAAAGATCTGTTTTTTGTTATTTGTTTTGCTGTTTTGTCATTTTTGTCGAAACTACATAACAACTATTCTTCAAATTTTAAATGCTTGCCATTCTATAGTAATTCTTCCCTAATACGACTAAACTCAGCATCTAATTTTATGCTTTCTCTTGCCAGCAAGTGCTTATCTTACTTGAAACTGCATCGAGTGAATAGTTTACTTTACAGTCTCTTTAGAATTTCAGAATGGCCGATTTACTGAATTTACATTATAAACAATGATAAATAAAATTATTCGTTTATAGGCCTTTTCTGCGAAAACAGTAAATAGGAACTTGTGAGTTATTTCTCTCTTTGTTTGGTTTTCTTTCAAACCACTTACTATGGCCTCAGCCCATAAACGGTATTCCCTCTTCTCCCATTGTGTTCCGTGCTTTTCCTCTAGGTTGCTCACAATTTCCTCTTTCTTGGCTTCACGGCTTGCTGCTTTTTTCCTTTTTGTAGTCTTGTTTGTGTCTACAATAATGCAGCCATGTAATCGGTGATTAATAAATATTAACAATAATGAAACTATGAGTTCGCTGCTAGTTCCTTTTGATATGTTTTACCTTCCTTTTTCTGTTTCTTTGAGGCTGGGATGCAATTATCGCTGTCACTATCTAATTCTGCAATGCGTTAAGAAGGTTAAGTTATCTCATTGTCTACGGTTAAGTGATGTAGTTTTGTTAAATAACTTACCAAGAACTTCAGGCTTAGCTTCAGCTTCGACAATGTAAAATAAAGGGCATTCTGTGGCGTGCTCCTGCCAACTTTCAAAACCTTTTAGAAGTTCCTTCTCGTTCTGAATTTGATACTTGCGATTGCTATATCCGATATAGCCAATCTCCACGTTAGTTGGGTTCCCATTTGCAAAATCCTTTCCGCAAATGTTTAGAAGCATTTCTTTCATCACGCTGACTTCCTTAACTTGTGGAATTTTCAAATGTACTTTTTTAAATTTTCGCTTGTCTTTTCTGTTGGGAATAATTCTAACATCTATTTCTTTTTCTTCCTTATCTGACATATTTCAATGTATTTGAAGGCCCGAAGTTAAAACTAGGTTTATAATACTGCGAGATGTCCACTGTACAAGTGTTTTTTTCTATTGAGAAATCTTTTTATCTCTATACCGCGCTAATCCTTCCATTCTTGTCACAATTGCTAAGTCATTCAGTAAATTCGGAAGTTATGTAAACACCATAGTGTTTTTTTGTTCGCAAAAGGGAACAAATGAAGTTTTGATTATTTTCCATTATTTGAATTTCACAGAGTATGTGAGTCCGCTCTAGACCCAATAAGCCAGTAATGCAATTAGTCAAGCGCACGCGCAATTGAAGGTCTCAAGTTTGAAAACGTTAATGAACGTACGATTGTCCAATGTCATGACAAAATGAGCTTCACATCGCCCTCTTAACACTATTGTATGGAGTTGAATGTTCGGGTATTTATAATGAACAACCAAGAGATAAGAGTAATAATGTGACGTTTTCACGGGCATGTTCAAATTTCGAAGTCTAAGGTATCCCGAACAAAACAATAACAACTGCACCGAGACGCCTTAAAAATAATATCAGATAATATGGTGGTCATTAACAACGTGATCTGGAGTATTGGTAATTTAGCTATACAAAAAGGGTAAAAATTCTGGAAATGTAATGCTCCAACAACAATATAAAAAAGAGTTCTAGGTCCAGCTGACTGTTATTGTTATTTTACGACATGATCGAGGTGAAACAACAGAGCTCGTTAAACAGAGTTAGCTTGGCCAAAACAACGAGCAGACAAGTAATCTTCCCATTGTCATCATAGTGGTCCTTTGAGAATGAATGAACAAAAGACTTATTCGGTTAAATGGAGATACATATATATGTCTACATATCCTTGGAGTGTCAT